AGCTGTCTCTTTAATACCGCGTGGTTTATATACATGTTGCTGCTGATTGGGCTGACATTTTTGACACACCCACCAAACAAGAGAAAACGTATCTCAAACCCTGTTGCACACCGTTTTCAGGAAGCATGCCGTTCAAACCGGAAACCGTTGCAAAACGTTGTGCAACGGGTAGAGCTTGAACTTGCACCTGAACGTGTCTCAGAGAGGAAACGGAGCTGCTTGTGCGCGAGCAAATAGGTAGCCTAATTCTGATACATGCAATGACTATCCATTATGACGTGTAGGCATTTTTATATTTATGTAGCCTACACAATAATAATCTTTTACATTGTAATCCTTTAATTTTTCATATTTGGCATGCTTGAGTGCTGCTGTGCGTCCCTGTGTGTGTAATGAGCAGAGTGTTTGCACGCTGTGGACCCGCCTATACTAACGCGCTTTTTAAAGGTGACATATCATGGAAATCTGACTTTTCCAGGTTTTAAGTGCTATAATCAGGTCCCCGGTGCATCTACCAACCAAGGAAACGTGATAAAGATTAACCCAGTAACTTTGTTTTGGTAAGCCTTTTTTTGCAAGCATCTGAGAAAACGAGCGCGTCAGATTTCGCCCCCTTGGTGACGTGGCAAAGGGATCTCATTATAATATTACCGCCGCTTAATCTGTAAATTTCCACCCACGGCGCCGTCATTGTGTTTTTTCACAAACGACAACGGTGTACCAGGTCTAATGCCATGGCAAAGGTTTGAGCAAAACATGCTAACTGTTCTGTCTTTGGCTGCACAGACGAGCACAGAACACTATTTAGAGTCCCAGCCTCAAACTCATATGGTTTAAAACACATGATTTCAGCGCGATAAACAGGATAATCAGAACCAAAACAGATGTTTTAGCAGGTCCAAGCTGTAATGGTGCAGCTTTATTCTAGGAAAGGGGGCGGGGAGCAGCAGCTCATTTGCATTTAAAGAGACAGGCCCGAAAAACAGCGCGTTTCTGCCTCCACTCAAAATAGGCATTTTCAAAATGATATAATAAATGATATGTGGAGTATTTTGAGCTGAAATTTCACAGACACATTCTGGGGACACCAGAGACTTATATTACATATTGTAAAAAGGGGCATAATATGTCTCCTTTAAATAACAAAAAAACTACTACGCCATTGACTTTAGGCCAGGTTTTAGTTGGTCAATGGCGCAGTCTATTTCAGTTGCCTCAAAATAGCAACGTGCCAACAATGTGCCTGAACACCTCGTTTTCAGACCAGCATGCCCATGAGCGCACAAATGGGCGCAAATGCATTTGCTATTTAAACAACGTGGTGCAGCACGTGGAAATGATTACTGCGTCAGACTGAAACTAGCAAAAAACACTTGCGTCGCACCTGGCGCCACATTGCGCCGGGTGTATGATAGAGCCCTAAGTCTTCTTTAGTATTAGTTCTTATAATTAGAATTCTTATAATGCAGTATCAGAATTTCTGTTTTGTTAATTTTCTCCAAGATTAGTAGCAAGTTTCATGCATTTGTGAAGAGAAATGGAGAAGAGAAACCAATTGTCTGTTTTACCATGTATGTGTGTGGTGTTTAATACTTCAATAACTTCTTGTTCTATTGGAATTAGTGCCGACCTGTGCATGTTTGTATGCGTATGTGAATGAGTCTGTGGTGTTTTCTGCTCTTCTCTGTGTGAGAGTTGACTGCAGTTCAAAGAGGAAAGATTATAATATTACAGCACCATTGATCTGGCATGAGCCTGTGTGTGTGAAGCTATTTTAAGCCGTGATTCAGTCTGACTCACTCAAAATGACAGATTTCGTTTGAGAGAGAAAGAGCTTATTCAATCCCAAATCTTTGATGTGTCAGAACTGACGGGATACACTCTGGAAATTCCTGCAGCTCCGAGCGTCCGGATTCATTTGCAGCTCTCACAACTTCCCGGAATCTGCTCTAATTTTTTCCCAAGGAGATTTGGTGTGTGTGTGTGTGCATGTGTATATGTGTGTGTGTAGGCGTAGGTCGAAGGTTTCAGATCACGGGTCAATTACTCTATTCTCTCTTAATTTCCAGATGAACATTCTTAGCTAATCCCAGTAGAACAAGAAAATCACCCCCCTCTTTTTTTTCCCTCTCTCTGCTCAAACCCACACTGGACTACATTCATAGAGTGTGTCATGTTCTAGAAATGTATGTTTTATCATCGATAATAGTTGTTGTTTGTCAGATTGTATATTTGAGATTGTATATTTGAGTGTTGCATTATTATATTTTATTTATTTATAAAGAAACTTGTTTGGTTTTGTGTCAGTATGAGAGTCCACATCTATGGAAGCTTGTTTCCACCACGGGGTAAAAAAATAGAAAGTCATTTGCAACTTTTCATCTCACAATTCTGACTTTTTTTTTCTTGCAAATGTGAATTTTATATCAGAAATATTTTCTCAGAATTGTAAGTTTATATCTGAATGTGTCAGAATTGTGATATAAAAAGTCACAATTACCTATAGTTTTACTATTTTATCCTGTGGTGGAGACAAGCTACCACAGGAAAGAAAAAACTGAATTGCGAGATGTAAACTCAGAATTCAGAGAAAAAGTCAGAATTGCGAGATGTAAACTCAGAATTCAGAGAAAAAACTGAATTGCGAGATGTAAACTCAGAATTCTGACTTTTCTACAAGGAAAACAGTGCGATACAAACCACTAATTGTGAGGGGGAAGAAGTCAGAATTGTGATATAAAAATGGCAATTACCTCTTTTATTTTATTCCGCGGTGAAAACGGGCTTCCATTCAATTCACAGTTTATCGCTCAATGTCAAATTTTGCATTTGCGTTTAATTAGCAGACACTTTTATCTCACAAATGAGAATAATATAAACAGTAGAGATCAGTTCTTGAGTAATAAGTCTTATCATTCTTATAATGCAATGTCAGAGTTGGTTTTGTGGAAATCTGAAAAAGTTTAGCAGGTTTCATGCATTTACAAAGAGAAATGGAGAAGAGAAACTTTTTCAAGACAAAACGTTGCTACGTACAACAATTTAATGCATTTACAAGAGCAGTAAAAATATAAAGACAATATGCAAGCACAATATAAATGATAAAGAAGTTTTTTTAATTTATATATGGAATTAAATGTTCCTAAAGACATTATTTAACTAATTATTTTAATTTGTTGTGCTTTGTTTATGTTTTAGGACCACAAAACGCCAAAGCTCACTGTACCCTGTTCGGACATCCAAGAGATTCGACGCTGTAATCGCCTAGAGATGCCAGACAACTTGAACACATTTGTCTTAAAGGTGAACAAAGACACACAGTCATAAATTACACACTGGTTCATTTTATTGATAAACTAATATATTTACCAGGCTGATTCATTTGGATGATATTAGGCCATTTTAAGATTGTGTATAGGCACGTCCTGTTTTCATGATGATTTTAGTGCAGATTTAAATAAATATTGCATGCAATAAATCAATGGTCATTAAATTGAATTACATTTACATATAATTATGGAACTATATAATATATAAAGAAGGGTCCAAAAGTTTATTTTTTTAGGACCTTCACTCTATAATGTAAAAATGAATAAGAAATATTTCAGATTGTGCACTATTTTTAGGACTCATTATCAAGTAAATGAGTGTCATTGATTATGTGACTCTTGTACAGTTGGTTCTTCTGTTGAAGCTCTCTGGAACAACTCAAATCATGCTGGACAAAATGATCATCAGGTTTTATAATACAATAATTATTAAATAGAAAAATGCAAAATAGAACCATTTTAACAATTCGTCATTTTTGGAACCCACTGTCATGATTAGTGGTCGACCAAAATGTGTTTTCCTTTGGTCTCTGCTGATATCTAGAGAGCAGTGGCTGATGGCCAATATAATGCAGTTGTTGATGGCAGCGCCTTGTGTGGTGCAACAGGCTTTTCTCTATATAAAACTATATGATATTTATAACTAGATAAAAAAGTTTGTAGACAAACCTCAAGCTGGCTTGAAAAAGCCTTTTTAGTTTAAAGGTTTTCAGTTTTGCTTAAAACCAGCTAAAACTACAAAAGTTACACTGTAAAAAATGACCGTAAATTTAACGGTAAAAGACTGTAAAAATGCTACAGTAAAAACCTGTTAAATGGTTAACGGTAAATTCCCCTACTATATACGGTGAAAAACTGTATTGGACATTACATGTATTGGACATTAATTTTACGGTAGTATACCGTTTTTGGAAGTGGAAAAGTATATAATTTTCATAAAAATAATAAAAATAATTTACAGTGAATAACCGTAAATTGACATTCCCAGAATTCCCTGTGTTACATTTCAAATTTGATGTTTTTTGTTGAAATAACTATGTTTCTTCTTAGTTTTTTCTTATCAGTTTTGTATATTAGGGTTGTGTGTTACACCTAATGTTGTCAAATGAATGTTTATTGCATTATTTCAGTTTCATGTGTGTTACCATGATGGTGTTTGGTGTTTGTATGAATGACACTGTGCACCTTCTATATATGTTATTACTTAAAAGCTGCTTGTGATGGGCTTTGGTTCATCATGTGACTTTCTCATCACCACCTGCATTTGGTGGTTATCAGTGTATTACAAAGGTGCAAAACAGATTTCAGTACTTCAGTAGGTTGGTATATTAACATTATATCAGTTAATGAAAATACGGTATTTAACTGTAAATTTAAGTTAAAACCGTAAAACTTAAAACATTGCTACCGTATTTTTTACGGTAAAATTCCGGCAACCACAGCTGCCGTTTTTTTACCGTAAATTTTACAGAATTTTTTTTTACAGTGTAGATTTAGAAAAATAGCTAAAACCAGCTGATTTAGCAACAAAAGCTAAAAAAAAAAAAGCTAAGACCAGATAATTTAACAAAAAACAGCTAAAAAAACAGCTAAAACAATCTAAAACCAGCTGTTTTAACAACAACAAAAAACCCAGCTAAAACCAGCTGATTTAGCAAAAAATAGCTGAAACCAGTTAAAACCAGCTGATTTGGCAAAAACCAGCTTAAAACAAGTTGATTCAGTAAAAAACAAAACCTAAGCTGATTTAGCAACAAAAGCTAAAAACCAGCTAAAACCAGATCATTTAGCTAAAAAAACCCCAGCTTAAACCAGTTAAATCCAGATAGATAGATGAGTTTGAATGAGTCTCAGTAGCTTAGAAATAGTACATAGAATGGCAGCTAAATTGAGTCTAATGGGCTTCAGTGTGTTTAGATTTGAATGTCTATCAGCTGGAGCTCTATGGGATTTTTCGCAATTTTAATTGTCATTTTTAGGAAAACCGTAAGTCCGAACAGTTAGAAAATATATAGCACACTAGTCAGATCAGTCTGAAGGTCTGTCTCGAGTTTGGTGAATGTAGCTTGAAAGCTCTAGGAGGAGATACAATTAGAAATTTAGTCTAAGAAGAAAAATAATAATAATCTTAAATAGTAAATCAGTAAGTTGGCTTTTTCAAGCCAACTTAATTACTATGCATGCAGTTTTTATGGCCTTATAGAATTTGGAATAGTAATTCTAAATGCATATATTTAAATAAAAGGTTTATATTTGTAAATAAAAGCTTTTATGATGACTACATGGAATAGTATTTTGGAATGTATATATTTAAATAAAAGCTTTTATGACCTCATTATAATTGAGAAACTATAAACCTTTTACTAAAATGTACAAATCAAAAATCTAATCTAATTTTGGATTTATACATTTTAGTAATAGGTTTATATATTTAAATAAAAGGTTTTATGGCTTAATAATAATTATTACTACATGGTATATATATATATCGCTTTTTTTTTTTACTTTTTTTTTTTAAATATTTGATTTTAGCATTTTTTTTCTAATCTTACTTCAAATTCACCACAAATATTGTAAAACATGATGCAGATAATAATCAAAAAGCAGTCAATTAATCGGCCCAAGCAGTAACTCAGTCAGACACTGTATTTGGTATAAATAAAAAAAAATGTATGAATCCCTCACCAAATGGTCAAGTTCATTTCTAAATCTTTTATTTTCTTCTGTTCTGTTGGTTCATGTGTTTCGTTTTTTCCTCTGTTCTCCGCACAGGTTACTGGTCATCCGGGTAGTTTTATATTTGAGGCTGATAATGAGCAGCAGGTGAGCTCTTGGACCACAGAGCTCAGAGAATGCATTACCAGCAGGTGAGGGCGACGCTTTCTGCGTTTGAACTAAACTTATCTCTGAAGATCCCAGACATCTGCAAAAGTTCCTGTCATTCCCCTACTGAGAAAACCCACTCAGTTCCTCTTTTACACACATACATACACTCTCTCACACACACACACACACACACAGAATAAAACATCTCTATTTTAACAAAACTGAACTTAGTGCTACTGCTAAATAAATCCACATAGTTTGGGTTCTCACATATTTTAGTATTTTTAAAAGTCTTAATTTAGACGTCAGTCGGTTTGTTTGCTTGCAGACATGTCCACACACACCATCTGTGTGTTCTGCACATACTATGTCTTTCACAAAATGTGTGTGTGTGTGTGTGTGTGTGTGTGTGTGTGTGTGTGTGTGTGTGTGTGTGTGTGTGTATGTGTGTGCGCACGCATCTGTTTCATTTCCTTTTATTGGTGTGAGGGTACTGAGAACTCAAGTCTGTGTGAATATATCAATGTGAGTTTTAGGAAGAGAGAGAGAGAACGAGAGTGAGGTCTTCCTGTTATTCTGATTACTAAGAATCTCAAGAACTCGACTCAGCACATCTCATGGCCTCCTTTCTCTCCATGCCCCCTTCTCTCTTTTTTTTTCTCTTTCTCATTTGCTTTTTTTTTTTTACCTTTTTTTTTGGTCCACCCTGTGTGTATGCGTTCATCTTGACATAAGAGCATCATATACAATAGGGTTTTTGCTTGTCCAAGAATTACACAACACATTTCCTGACTCGAACCAAAAGCTTATGTGCTGCTTTCTCCCGCAACTTCCCCAAACACCCCTCCCCGCGTCTTGCTCTCTCTCTCTTCCTCTGTCCTTTCCTTCACTTCGTCCCTGTAGGTTTCAAAGCGACGTCTGCTTTCCTAATTCTCATCCTATAAGATCCTATTCTTGTTCTATTCATTCCATTCCATTCCTATTTATTTATTTATTTTTAATTAGTCACAATTTTCTCCCAGTTTTTCACCAGTTTTTACTTTTTTATTATTTTATTTATGAATTATAAACCTTTTAATTTAAATTTTATATTTTCAATTAATATTTTCATTATATAATTATATTATCTAATATATTAATTATAAATATATATTGTAACTTTCTATTTATAATTTTATATATATATATATATATATATATACACACACACACACACACACACACACACACACAATTTCTACAATATGCATAGTAAAAGCAGCATCAAAATTGTCTTTTTGCAAGAAATATATGAATGTCCTACTACATTTGCCAAGTTAAGTATACAACTGAGTGTACTACACAGAAAAATGTATCCCACAATGCAATGCGTTGATCTTGATCTTCCATTTCCAAAATGACAAATAAACCAGAATTTTTAAATTCTAACTTTATAACTTATAACTTTTAAAATCCCTATTTTGATTATTTGAAGATGTTTTACACGATAATTAATAATTAATTTTATTAAAACAATGAAATGTACTTAAATAGAAATCTGTTAAAATAATGTAACTATTTTAAAATAATTAAAATAATACATTTTATAGTTTATCAGTAAAAATGTATTTAAAAAAAAAAAGTTTGTGAAAAGCGCTATACAAATAAACTTGAATTGAAATTGAAGTTCTTTAAAACAAAGAACTGGTTTTATACTTTGTAATGTAATGACATTCACACATTTGAAAGTGTTACTTAAGGGTCCACATGATTTTTAGGGCCACTGTATGCATGGGGGAAAAAAAATTATCTCGTTATTGAAAGCTTTGCTTTGTAGTGTTGACGTACCTTAGCATATGTGATGTGATGTTATTGATTGCGTGACATTCTGTGACCACTTCATTATGCAGTTAAAGAAGTTCATAGATGTTTATGAGAGAGTGTGTGTGTGTGATTCCAGGTCAGATAGTGTGGATGGAGAACCGTTTCCTGTTAGCGACTCGCTCAACGCAGCTCGCAGAGGGAGCACAGAGCCCGGCGGCCAGGGTGAGTCACGTACACACACACACACACACACACACAGACTCTTACTCTCTCTCACTTATCAACACTTAGATTAATGCAACTACTCTAAAATACCTACGAATTCAGCTCAAAATGAGACATTTGTTGTTGATTCGACTAACATGGTGTAAACTGGACCAAAAACTGTCAATTTTGATGTAACGGCATCTGTATTGTTCATATGTTTTGGTTATACTTTTGAAATAGTGTGACCGTTACATTTTCTGCATAGATTTCCACTATAGCATAAGTTTTTTGTTTGTTTTTATAAATGAATAGATGCGATTAAATTATTTTGCACAGTAATCGACTGCTCTGATGTCTGTAAACTTCTGTCTCGTGTGTGTGTCTCCGCAGGCTCTCTGGGTTTTGGACTCGCAGAGCACGCCTACAATAAAACGGATCACTTCCTGTCCTCTTACCCATGGTTCCATGGGCCCATATCACGTGTGCGGGCTGCCTACCTTGTACAGCATGCCGGGTTCAGTGGTCATGGGAACTTCCTCGTGAGACAGAGCGAGACGCGGAGAGGAGACTACGTCCTCACGTTTAACTACCAGGGCAGAGCAAAGGTAACGAGGCCTGATCATCATCGTCTTCATCATCATCATCGTCCTCATCACGAATGACAAAATCATTTCATTCTTTTCATTAAGGATTATACAATATCAGTGACCAGTTTATCCTTTATTATTAATTGATATGTATTTATATATTTTATATTAATAAAATGATATAATATTATAAATATTATATAAAAAAAAAATTATTATAATAGTAGTAATATAAAATAATTAAAAAATATATATAACATTATAATGACTCACAATGACTGTTGCACACCTTTCTGTTCATGTCTGTATTCTATTTATTTATTAATATTTTATATATTACAAAAAACACTTACAAAAAAAAACAAAACAGATGTAAATGTACAAGATCGGCCATCATATCAGTAGTGACCAAACTGGTATATCTTATTATTTTTTATTAACGATTTATATATTTTATATATATATAAATTTTTTCGTAATTGTTTATTTTTATTTATGTTTCTTTTATTGGTATCATGTTTATGCTGCTGAACAGGGAATATCATTTTTCCTCTTGTGCTTTGTGGTTTAGATGGGTTTTAGTAGTTCTGTGAGACTTGACACAAGGAAACATGCCTTCTCTCAAACACATACTCATCGGAAATATTTCACTTTTGCGTTAATATTTTCTCTTGCATCTCTCTAGGTCAGAGTTCGGCTATTGGCTCTCCGTTATTGGTGCCCTTCTCTCGCTGGAGCTCAGAGCCGAGTCTGGCTCACTGTTGTCCCGATTCTTGCCCTCACTCCAGCCCCTCCACGGCCCAGTCTTCAGCATTAGCCGCGCTCCAGCACCACGTGCCCCTTTCATTTCCAGATCGCCCCATTCCCGTCCCCCTGCGCCGGAGCGAGTCGGTGGGCCGCAGAAACCTGCTCCGCCACCCCAACCTGCTGCCGCCCCTACTGTCCAACCGGGACTCTGACTACGAACTGGAGCCTCCCAACAGGGGGCGCAAAAGAGCCATCGACAACCAGTACATGTTCTTCTGACAGAGACAGAGGATGAAAAAGAAAACAAAAGAAGCCACAGATGAAAAGTGCTCCAGAATTCCCGCCCGGATGGAGAGCATGCGGAAGCCAAAAGAGTTCGAGTCGTGCGAGATTGCGCACGAGACTCGGGGTAGAGGCACGGGTGGCACTCGTGTGTTGCACGTGTGTCTGAACGATACTGCCAGACACCTGACACCCAACCCTGCCAGCTGTCTACCTTGTGAATGTATTATACAGATGTTTCACTATCAAATCGGTGTAGAAAAACTAAAGTAGGAAGGTGAAGTAGACAGCTGCTTAGAGGATTTGTTGGAAGTAGCAGATGGGAACGTTTCACGACGGCTGGTGAGTAAGTCGTACACAAAGCAAGGGTCTAATCAAACACGTCTGTGTCTACACTGGAAGCGGCCGACATCACAACAACTTGAGGCCGTCTGCACTGGATACGTTCACAGTCAGCAGGA